AATGAAAGTAATACTATGAATAATGAACCACAAATACAAGTTGCATCATCAAAAAAACGAAAACATCATCATCATCGTAGTAATAAACGATATAAAAATCAAGAAACAACTTCAGGTACATATCCATTCTATATGTCTGACTCATTATTTAATTTTTATTATCCAGTTCAAAATCTAGATTCTCCGACTAGTGTAATTTTGGATGATGATGACGATGATGAATTACAAATAAATAATTCAAATCAAGAACAATCACAAGAAGAAAATCATCAATGAAATTATTATATGTTTTATTCTATTGAAAAATATTGATTCAATTGTTTTTTTTTCTTCACGTTGTTCTGATTTGTCAAAATATATATAAATATATAAATATAGGTATAACAATATTCATGAATATTTGAAAAAAATATGAAATTCTTGAACAAAAAAATATCTTGTCTATCAATACAATAAATCTCACGATATGAAAGACGAATGAATATTTTAGTTATGGCCAAAAACTAGCAAGATAAATATTTATATGATAAATTCAACTTATTAAAGATGAGGTTTTTTGAAATAGTTATGTGTCATATAAAATCCAGTCAGCGGTCATGAACTTTCATCAATAAGATTATTGACCGATTTATGATTACCATCAAAATAGTCTTAAGTTGTACAATCACAACCTTTAGGCATTGAGGAAAAAAAACGTAAATATTTTAGGTACAGAAAAAATTTGTGTAGTAGTTACAAGTTTCAAGCAATGATAACAAATATATCATACTAATCTTATCAAATGTGTCAATTCAACGTAATGTAGAGGGTATCAATACCGAAATTTACTGATTTATCATTCTAAATTTTATTATTAATACAAGATACAAAAATCAAACCAAGAGGAATATGTTGACATATGAAATTGATTTAAAAGATTATTTCTTTTTTATGTATGCATGTGCAGAATACAATCATAAGTACATATATTCTTAACAAATAGAATAAAATATATAATTCTTAGAATTTGTTTAATGATAAAGAATATTGAATAATCTAGGATTGATCTTATCAATGGATAAAAAGAAATGTTTGAACTATTCATCAACAAACGACTTCATCTTATATTTAAGCCGGTTATCACCTGTGTTTTTTTTCTCGACTTTTTGTTATGTTATCATGATTATGACAAAGTCTACACATTTTTCTTTTACTCCTCTCACAAACTACAGGTATCTATTGTTTTTAAGAAGAGGTTAACAGACAAATATGTCTGAATATATTTCTATGCAAAATGGTCTTGGACAAGTAAGAATTATTTTATGGAACTACACAAGAAATATTTTATATATTATATTTTTTTAGGCAAATATTTCAACTTTAACTTTACTTGCTAATTCTTTAAATGAATTTATACATAATTCTCGAAAATTTAATTTAACAGATACGAATGAAAAAGAAGAACTTAATCAATTTTTACTTCAAGAATCATTACCAAATGTAATTATTAAAATAATTGGTATAAAAAATGAAAAATTTAGACATACATTCAGAGCATCAATTCAAAAAATATTCAAACAAATTATGTGTAATTTAATGGAACAAACTAGTAAAGTTCTAGGATTTTTAAATTAAAGTTTAAATAATTTATCTATCATAGATATTTGGCTTTTAAATGGTACTAGAGAAATGCTTGATTTAGAAGAAAATGAAAGAGAATTAATTGAAAATGATGAAGATAATCCTAATATTGTTATATGTAAAGTAATATTCATTTGAAAAACAAAAAAAGAATTCATTTAATTTCTACTAATTTTCTTAGTCATTTGGTAAATCACAAATAATAATGTATCATTCTGCAGCCTATCAATTTATTGATAAAATTCTTTCTCGAGTTCAACAACAACCAACATCGTCTCATATTCCTATCATTAATTTATTAATACAAGGTAATATAAATTACATATTAATAAAAATTTCTTGATTTTTCATTGATTTCATCAGGTGATGAGTTAACTATCGAAAATATGATTGAAAGTATTTCTAAACGTATTCCAACTATCATCTTAAAAGTAATCATATCATAATCTTATTATTTACTTCTAAATCATATATATATGTTAAAGGGTACAGGAATGATTGCTAATCAAATAGCTGCCCTATACGAACCGATGAGTAATATTTATGATGAAACATCAAATGAACAAATATTATCGGAAAAAGATCTTCATCGACTTATCAATATGAATGAAAATACACGTACACTTATGTTTGTTTGTCAACCGGGTAAAGATGAACTTGATGAAAGTATTCTTCGAGCTATCAGTACAGGTTAGAAACCATTTCTTGTTAAATCTTTATCTGAATTATTTGTTCAGCAATACAAATTATTGATAAAGAGCATGCTCGTATTCGTAAATTAAGCTTTGCTATGCGATGGAATAAAATAAATTATGCTCAAATTTATATTCTTAATCATAATACGATTATAAACTGGACAGTCAGTCATTAATTCTTTGAAATTATGTTTTTTTTACTAAAAACTTTTATATGATATAGGATGAAGAATTAGATAAATGTCTTGAAATGGCAATTGTTTCTAATGTTGTACCATTTGTTGAATTATTATTTGAATATGGAGCATCATTAGAGCGTTTAGCTCTTATTAGTGATTCAGATCTTTTTAAAATACAAGTAAGAGATTATGAAACAAATATTTTGAAAATATATATTGTTTTTATTTTCATTTAGTCGAATAAAAGAAGTAAGAATATATGATATGTAATATTTGTTATGTTCTTTGTTATAGAAAGTCAAATTGCTGAATTTATAATTGAAACTATTCCTATCATAACACATCTTGATTCAGATAAACGTATTCAAGGTAGAATTATTAGAATATAGATATAGATGATTAATATATTTTCTAGCTTATGTTCGTCTTTTATTCTATTGGGCTATTGAAAATCAATATTTTGAACTTGCTATGAGTATTTGTACTCGATTGGAAGTATGACGAATAAATTAGATATTGAAATAACTCGAAATTTATTTTTAAGGATTCAATTATTGCTATGTTACTGGTTAGTCAATGGTGTCAATATAAAGAACTAAATGATTATACAACTTCAGATACCTATCGAATACATCGTCGGTAACATATTTTATAAATAAATATATACATGAATTGTTTTTATCATGTAACATATCTTACTTATCTATAGACAATTTGATATGTATGCTGCTGATATACTTGATCTTTGTTATGATGATAATAAAGAAAATACTATTAAATTCTTACATGAAAAATCCATTTTATATCATGATCAACAATCATTAGTTCTTATTGATGATCTTTGCTCGAAAACTTTAGTATCAACTGATTGTATGCAATCTTACATGAATACGAAATGGTATGGAACTGAATTTCATCAAAATAAAAATTTCATATGGGAAATACTAGTAATAATAAAAAAGAAATAAAAAACATAAGATTTCGTCTAATTGTAGATCTGTCTTGTGTGTATTTGTCCAATATTATTATTTATTCCAATTATACACAATCGAATTTTTCAACGAAATAAAACCGATACAAATGGTTATAATTTTTGGAGTAAAATAACAAACAAATTTGAACTTTTCAATCGATTTTATCATGGAAATGCAGTTATTCGATTTCACTACAATATGGTATGTACTGATTATTTACATATGAGAGTTGGTAGTAAATTTCGATGAACATCTTTTATATTTTCTATTAATTATGTTATTTTTTTAAATTTAGGCATCATACACTGCGTTTTTGATTTTATTTAGTTATACAATTTTATTTGATTATTTTCCATTGAATATTTATAAAGAAAAACGTTCAAATATATATCGATTACCTATTCCATTAACGGAAATCATTCTACATATATTTCTTGCATCAATTGCTCGCGAAGAAATTCGACAAGTATTTATAATTAATAACGATTTTTTTAAATTAAAAATATTTTTATCAGGTTTTCTTACATGTTAAATCAGCTTTGATTAAATCTCCTTATTGGAAAAAATTATCTGAAGTAAATCGTCATCGAAACACAATATGGTCATTTTATAGAAATGATCCTTGGAATGTATTAGATTTTGTTGCTTTTACACTTTGGATTGTCGGGTTTATTACACGTTTTATTGTACGAGATCATGCCTTCGAAGTATCTAAGTATGAGGAAAAAAACGATTATTTTAAAATAATTTCATATTGATTTTAATAGAATCTGTATGAGTATTGATTTATGTTTATGGTACATGCGATGTTTACATGTATTTCTCGCTTCAGAAAGATTGGGACCCAAGTTATTAATGATATTTCATACGGTATACAATTGTTTTTGTCTTCAAGAAATGAATTATATTATTTTTAGATGAAAGATTTAATGTCATTTTTATTTTTTATTCTTATTTTTCTCTCTGCTTATGCGATAACAACATATTCATTGATAACTACATCATCATTTGTTATATGGACAAACTCAACACATTTCACAACTGTACAAAATGGAGGAAATTTAACAAATATTGAAATTCTTCGAAATATTATTGAATGGGGTACATGGAAAATATTTGGAAGTACAAGTTTAACAACAAGTGATTCCGTAGAAATAAAATATACAGGTTTAATTGAAATTTCTTAAGAAAAACAGTTTTATATAAAATTAGATTTTTTTTATTTTAGCAAAAAATGATGCTTATGGTTTTGTAACTTTAATTTTAACAATAGCTTTTTTAGTTGTTGCCTATGTTCTTTTATTAAATAATTTAATTGCTTTGTTTAAGTATGTAAATGATTGATATATGCGAATGAAATCAAAAAATTTTATCTTTTAGTTTTACAATTCAACGTGTTCATGGTGAATCACATCGAACATGGTGTTATCATTTTTACGTTGTCTTAAAAGAATATGAAGAAAAAGATATGTTTGTTCCACCATTGAATTTATGTTTATGGCCAATAAGTTATTACATGCGGAAAAGTAAAATAAATTATTATATTATATACATTTCTAGATTTTCTATTTCATAGGATTACATGATAATACGAAGAAAAGAAATAAAAGTTTTATTGCTCATGATCATTACGATATAAAACATATTCGTAAACAACAACAAAGAATTGCTGAACAATATTGGAAAGGAAAACAAATTAGTAAAGATGGATCAAGTATTTAGAATGAAATATATAATGATTGAATCCTGTTTTTTTTTATTTTTACTATAGTTCATCAACGACCATATGTATGTCGACAATGTAAATGTCGTGGAACTGAAGCTGATTATATTGAATCAACATTTTTATAATATAAAAAAAAATATAATATTTGTAATAAATTATGAAACATATATCTAATAGATTTCATCGAAAACAGAATGTATAGATTAGATAAATCGTAAAAAAAATACTATATCATACCATGTGATAACAATTATTTATATACTTATCTTCGCATCATCATGTACGATTTTCATTGACCTTTTAAAATAGATTCATAAGTAAAGCAGTGATCTAGATTTTATTCTAACGTTTATTCAAAATTATTTTATACTCAAAGAAACCTATATCGTAGTATTAATAATTTATTATCTTTTTTTGTTTTTGTACTTTATGTTCGTTGAAGTAACACACTACAAAATAGACTTTCGTCTTTAACAAGATGATTACGGCATGATTTTACTGTGTTTAATATTGTCCTCAGATGACGTGATATAGATTGTTTATTTTGTTTTTCTCTTTTACGCCGTTTATATATTTCGAAATAAAAACCTAACAAAACACCATTTCTTTGTGTTTATTTGATATCTTATCATCATCATCTTCTTCATGTATTCTCTATCATGTGTCTTCTTACTTCATCAACATTTCGAAGCAGCAACAACATCACCTGAAATTATAGAAATATCATCAAAAAGCTTAAATAACGATATAATGAGTGACGAACAGGATAATGATAATCCAACACAAATCGTTGAAAACGAGACAAATGAACCTCGAACAAATGATGTCTCATCAGACTCGACAATTAACTCAATTGAAGACGATAGCCATTTTATATACGATGAAGATTCAAATAGACTTACATGTATTGGTTCGAATTATGATAATATCCCTCAAAATATTATTGACAGATTCTCAATTAAAACAAAAGTAAGAAAAATAACATTTTTTTTCATTCTAAATAAATATTTTTTGTTGTGTTTAGATTCTTGATTTAAGTAAAAATCATTTTCGTTCACTTGATTCTGTTAAAAATTTTCCTAATTTGGAAGAACTTATTCTTGATGATAATCAATTAGATGATACTCATACATCTTTTCCAAAATTAGCTCATTTAAATACATTAATGTTAAATAAAAATCGTTTTCAAGATATTTATAAATTAGTTGATCAATTACGTCATGCCTATCCAATGCTTATATATCTATCATTATTAGGTAATGAAGCATGTCCATATCGAATAATTTCAACAGGTCAAACATCATCATCAAATAGTACGGATCTTAGTGCATTCGCTCAAAATCGCCTTGAAGAAGAATATCAACGCTATAGACATTTATTAATATTTCGTATTTCAACATTGAAATTTCTTGATGCACGTGAAATAAGTCCTGATGAACGTCGTATTGCATTAAAATTAGGTGATATACTTTATTCAATTGATGAAGTAAGAAAATCGCAAACACAACCAGATGATGATTCAACGAAACACGAGAAGAAAGATGTTTATACACCTTTACCATCTAGTACAGGGAAAGATCGAAATCGACCATCTGTTGGAAAACTTCGACATACATATGATGGAAAAGGAAGTCAAGGAAATAAATTTTTAAAAGATGTAGATTTATAATACCATATATTGTCAAATGATTCTTTTTTCTTTCATTTTCTATTTGTATAAAATATTGTTTATTTTAATTTCGAATTAAATTATAATTAATAATGTAGTTTTTCTTCTATGAATATTAATGTTAAAACAATATAAAAAAAACATATCAACTCAAAGAATTTTATAATAAAGGAATAGATATTCGTTTCAAATTGAATTACGCACTACTTTTACTAGAAATAATTTAATGTAGTATGTTACATTGCATTGCATTCCTTAGAATATTATACTGAATCAAAAATTTTGTTTTTAAAGAATGGAATGTTTTAAGGGAAAATCCCCACAATTTAATGTTTATAATGAACAAGCGTGTACAAAATATCAATTAAATGTACGATTTTGTTCTAATGCAAAAGAAATATAAGATCAGTTTTTCCTGCCATCTACCGTCTAGAAAATCATTTGTCAATACAAAATTTAGTAATATAAGAATATTTAATCTCCTTTTTTTTGCATAGTCGAAATAAATTTATTCACTTCCTTTTTATTTTTCTCAAAAAAAAAAAACGAAAAGAATGACTGAACAAAATGGTTATCAGATACAATCTAACGGTGATCATAAAAATGAATATTTATTCGATAAAAATTTACTTCAATCAATATTTAAAGAATATTCACTAAAAGATGTCAAACTTCAAGATAATATTTATGATAATAAATATCTTATTCGACCATTAATAATCTCTGATTATGATCATGGTTTTATTGAATTACTTCGTCAATTAACTGATTGTGGTACAGTTACATATGATGATTTTAAAAAACGTTTCAATCAAATGAAACAATCTCCAAATACATATCATATTCTTGTAATTGAAGATATCAATAATGATAAACAAATTGTTGGTACAGCAACACTTGTTTGTGAGAAGAAATTCATTCGTCAATTAGGTATACGTGGTCGAATTGAAGATGTTTGTGTACATGATCGATGTCGTGGACAACAACTTGGAAAATTACTTATTAATTTATTAACACAATTTGCACGAGAAAAATGTGATTGCTATAAAATATCATTGGAATGTAAAGATCATTTAGTTACATTTTATCAACAATTTGGTTATAATCATGAAGATAAACAAAACTTTTTATGTCAACGTTTCAAAGATCTATCGACTAATCAACATGAAAAATCTCAATAAACTTATTTATTTTAACCACAAAAAATATTTTTTAATCTTTTCAGACCGGTGGGCTCTATATTTCTCTCTGTTACCTGGTGAATCTCATATAGGGTTTTTTTTTATAGAAAGAATAAAATATATATATTGACTAATTGGGTTATACACTAATTAAAGAAAAAACTCATTTTATAGATTAAATATAAAAATTATGCGATATCTACAATTCCGACGGACACTTTACAGTTTAACTGGCAAATGGGTACTTATCATATAATTTATCTCTAGAAAGTTTAGAAAACGAATGAAATGATTACTTCATTTTGATATTAAAAAAAAGAAGTATTATAGAACTTTTTGTATTTTTTATAGCCAAAAAGTTCAGTTATAGAACGAACAAAAGAAATTGAACAACATTGGATACCAAAATTATTAGATGAACATGAGAAATACCAAATAGACTCAGTATGAATGATTTATTTGATAATGTTTGTTTATTAGGTTACCTTTTTTTTATTTTAAATAAAGAATAATGATAAAAAACAGAAAATGTATGTTCTACCAATGTTTCCCTACCCATCTGGTCGTTTACATATGGGTCATGTTCGAGTATATACTTTAAGTGATACATTAGCACGTTATTATCGATTAAGAGGTTATCGAGTAAGTTTTTTTTTGTTGAATAATTAGAGATTTTTTGTTTTTATGCGTTATAAAATAGGTTATTCATTGTATTGGTTGGGATGCATTTGGTTTACCCGCTGAAAATGCCGCTTTTGAACGATCTGAAGAACCGCATCAGTGGACACAAAAGTAAATGTTTGTTTTTTAAATAAATAAATTACGGGATGACAATTTTTGTTGTTAAAGAAATATTGCCTATATGAAAGAACAAATAAAACAACTTGGCTGTAGTTTTGATTGGAAACGAGTGAATAAATTTTTGTTTTTTTATCAGTTTGATTTATCATTATTCATTTTTTAGGAATTAGCAACATGTGATCCAAATTATTATAGATGGACACAATATATATTTCTTATGTTATATCGCGAAGGATTAGTTTATCAGAAGAAGGTTAGCATATTTATAAATTATTATTGAATTTTGTTTCTTTTTGATTTAGGCAGCTGTTAATTGGGATCCTATTGATCAAACAGTTTTAGCTGATGAACAAATAGATGAAGCTGGTCGTTCATGGCGATCTGGTGCAGTTGTTGAAAAGAAATTTCTAAAACAATGGTTTATTCGTACACGCGCATTCACACAGGTAAACATAGTTATGTGTTTCTATAAACAGAAAAAGGACGCAGAGAACCGGAATACTTACTTATTTTGATACGCAATTTTACTCTTACAAACGATGCTTATTATTTACTTAAATTATTAGAATTGTTATTTTATTCCACCCACTTTTTGCTATGTTTGCTGACAGAATAGATAATTTCTTTCCCTCGGTGTACGTGCATATATGCATTTGTTTTCTTCTTGTTTTCAAATCATTTTTCTTCGCTATTCTTATCTACGGAGTAATGAAAACTGGAATACCTTGCTGCGTAGTTCTGATAATAAGTTTTGTAATCAGTAAAATAAATGCGACAAATGAAACAAATTATTCAACGAAAACACCCTATAATCCACCATTATGTGAATTAGTTTCACCACCATCAGAATTTGAATTAGTATGTACGCAATTGGTCGCTCGACATGGATGTCGAACATTAGAAGGTCGAAAATATGATAAACTAACAATGGCATTATGGACGTTAGCAAAAAAGGAAGAGGCATTAACAGAATATGGTGAACAATTTGGTAATGATCTTCAGTATTTTATTGATGTCAATGATAAATTAGGGTTTGTATTAATTAATATTTTTTTTTCTACAATTTTCTTATTCTATTTATAAAAATAGGCGTGGTGAATTATCTGGGCTTGGTAAACTTGAACATCAAGCTCTTGCACATCGTTTAACACAACGTATTGCACCATTATTTATGAAGAATCTGTTTGGTAATTCTTCCAATTCTATTCAAGTCGTTAGTAGCGGCAAATCTCGTACAGAAGCAAGTCTAAAAGCATTTGTTGAAGGTTTACCAACATATGTAGCTTCTTCAATTGAATACGAACCATCAAATCCAAATCTACTCTATTTTCATGTAAATAGAAAATATCATGCATATTCTAAAAAAGATAAACGCTTAAAAAATAAATTACGTTCTATTGAAATGCAAGACTATTCAAAAGAAATGGCATATAATGTACTTGCACGATTATATAAGAAATCATTTATTGATAATCTTATAAATAGAGATTATGTAATTACTGATCCTGAATCTGGAAAATCAATTAAAAATGAAGTCGATGCTGTCCGTGCGCTTCATAGTCTTTATTTAATTGGTCCAAATTTACGTGAAGAAGGTGTTGGATCTTTATTAGAAAAATATTTTCCTAAAAATGAATCAAGTTGGTTTGCTTATCTTCAAGATGCAAAAGTAAATAAGATTTGTTTTTTTTTGTAATAAAATATTTTTTTATAACATTCATTTTAGGAATATTATGAAAAAGGTCCCGGATTTCTTGGTCGAACAATAACATATGATATGGCACAAATATTACTCGATGATTTTTTTCTTAATTCTGAAAAATGTTCAAAACTAGATCCAACACATTTTCTTCGAGCACGTTTTAGTCATGCTGAAACAATTATTCCGTTTGCAGCTCTACTAAAACTACCTAACAAAAGCGATCAACAAACAGCAATCAATGAAATATATACGTATGAAAATAATCCCTGGCGTGGTGCAGAAATTTCACCCATGACAGCTAATATTCAATGGGATATATATCGACATCGTAATTATAGTAAAAGTCGTGATATTGAACATCAAGAAATTCTTATTCGAATGTTATTAAATGAATGTCCTATTCAATTCAAATATGAATGTAAACCATATAGTTTAGAACATAAGTTCTTTTATACACTTGATGAATTAAAACAATGCTATAGTACAGTTGACCCTTAAATATTTTTTTGTGTGTATTTTGTACATATTTGTTTCTGTCCCTATATATATATATATATGTCTAAATACAATATTTGATGTTGTTTTATTGATAGTCTCTGTACAATAGTCTTGATACATTAGACAAGGATGATTGGCAAACATTGATTAATATTCAACGTATGTGGATGGGAGATTGTAATGGAATTAATTTACTATTTAAACTGTCGGTATGAATAAGAAAAGATAATTAATAATAGAAAAAAAAATGAATATATACATATATATTAGATTCCAACAGCTGAATTCGATTTTCTTGAAACATTTACAACAACACCTGAATCATTATTAGATATTACACATCTCTATATACGAAGTAATCATAAACTAGCTCGATCCAATCTAATACAAGTGAGAAATATATTTAATTAAAGCATATTTAACACATTAATATTCCTCTAGGAAACAGAAAATGGTATTAAACGTTTAAGTATTAATGCGATTCATCCATTAACAGATCGTTTATTACCAATTTTTATCAATGATGAAGCAGATTACGGACCAAAAATACGAGCTAATATGTCGATGTTAAATGTTCAAATAGGTTAGAATTAATGAATTTAAATAAAAATAAATCAAATAATTATTATTAATTGTTAGGTACACCGAAATCAAATTCATATGATGAATCATTTGCAAATAAACATAGTATTTCAACTGTAATTGATTCATCAACTCGTTGGCATAAAATGGATACAGAAACATTACTCAGTGAACTTCGTTCACGTGAATTAGGTGGTTATCGAACATCTGGTAAACTTAGTGATTGGTGTATATCACGTCAACGTTACTGGGGTACTCCAATTCCAATAATTCATTGTGATCAATGCGGTGTAAGTTATATATTTACTTTTTGTTACATATTTCTAAACAATATATTGATATATTCTTGATAGAGTGTTCCAGTACCAGAAAACGAATTACCAGTTCGATTACCATCAATTGAAAATATAAGATCTTCATCAAAAACTGGTATTTCACCATTAGCTAATGCACATGATTGGAAAAAAATTCAATGTCCAAAGTAAATTAAATTATTTTTATGATATATATATTTATCGTTTGTTATAGATGTGGAAATGAAAATGCTAAACGTGAAACAGATACAATGGATACATTTGTTGATTCATCATGGTATTTTTTACGTTATTTGGATAATGAAAATACTGAAAAACCATTTGAACCTAATATTGTTAATAAATTGATGCCAGTCGATCTCTATATCGGCGGACTTGAACATGGTAATTAATTTGTGCACGTATGTTTTTTTCCATGTTTAACATTATAAAATAGACATTTCATAAATATTTTTGATTTTATTAGCTTTAACACATCTCTTTGTTGCTCGATTTATTCAACATTTTATGCATTCTAAAGGTCTATGTACCTCTCTTGAACCATTCAAACGATTTATACCCATCGGTAAGATAGCCTTTTATTTTTTGATTAACTCGTTTTTTTGTTTCATTGAAGGAATGGTACAAGGTAAAACTTATAAAACATCGAATGGTCAATACGTTACTAAAGATAAAGTTTTAACTATCGATAAAAATACAATGATACATTCATTAACAAAAGAACGAGTTGAAGTTGATTGGGAAAAAATGAGTAAATCAAAATATAATGGTACTGATCCACAAGAAATAATTGATGCATATGGTGTTGATTTTACAAGATTACTTATGTTAAATTTTGTTCATCCAAGATCTTTACGCAATTTCACTTGTAATTATAACTTATTTATAAAAGAAAAAGGATTAGATTTAACTGTATTCTTGGAGAATTCAAGAGCATATATTATGACCTATAGTAGACACAATCAGGGTCGAAACCATGACCATGAGTAATCGGTAGTCATAGATATTGGAAAAATCATATATTTTGCCACTATATCAATTGTATCAGATGTCCTTAACGCAAATTATTTCAACAGTTTGTAAATTTTTTTTTCGAAATTAGAATAACTAGAAATTAACTGTAGAAATTATTTTTTCCGAGATTAAGCTGAATTATTTCATAAATGATTCATATTTTGAATTGAAAATCTTAATTCTATTGTCTTGCTGTCGTAATGTATATTCGATTTATCTGATCTGAAAGTGTACGAAGTATATAGTTTATGAAAGAAAATTATAACTTGTTACAAACGAGAAAAAAATGGTCATGTCTCATGGTCATGGCCACAATTGCAAGTATAATATGTCCATGACAAAAGAAACACTTGCCGATGTCGATCTCGAACAAACAGACAGTTATATAAGAAAACTCTTTCGATTTGTACAACTATATAAATTCATTCTCTCAAGAACTTTTTGCAACTGTACATGATGCAAATCATTAAAATTAAATAAATCATACTAATAGAACTAACAATAATTCTCTTAGTTTTTAAATTCACAGAATTTTAAATCGATTAATCAAAAGAAATTCAGTTGTTCTAAAACTCCTTAATAGTTACTAAATAAAATCATTTAAAAAAAATTGACCTCATTGAGTTCAAAAGAATGCATTAATGTCTATGTCATTTTCATCATTAGCGAAATCATTCAAATACTAATGTGTTTTATTGCTGAAATAATTTGTAATATAATTAAGTCTATACTTTTTTTTTGAAATTTTATCTTTTAGTGGAAGATGGTATTGCCGAAGGTTTACAAAATTGGTTTAAAATCTTTATTAATCTTTATGTTGAATTAATTGATCCACGAACAAAGACTGATACAAAATCTGTAATGAGTAATGAAGAATTTCAACAAATTGAATTAGCTTTACGTGAACAACGATTAAATACGATTTATACAGTTACATTTTATATCGATAGTTTTTTTAGTGTAGCATCAGCTATTATCGAATTACAAAAATTAACACGTTATCTTCGAGTATAAAAATTAATTTATTTTTATTTTATAGAAATTTTAATTTTTGAATTCTTATAGAAAGTACCAATCAATATCAAAAGAGAATCTAATGAATATTTACGATCTCTTTGTGATCTATTAGTTATGATTGGACCAGTCATACCAGCTTTATCATCCGAACTTTGGACTATTTTACAAAAACAAATAAAAACTAATATTAATGGTTATGATCTGGTAAAATAAATTAGATAAAAAAAATATTTACTAGGTTTTTCTTTATATTTAGAGTAAAAATTTATTTGAACAAAATTACCCATCATTACCAAATGATTATCCAGCAAAGATCAATGCTTTAGTAATAGAATAATTTATTTCAAAGAAATAAACTTAATTATATTTTCTTTCAGTATGATACAACTGTTTTTGCTTCGATGCCAATAGCACGATCACTTCTTCCCACTTTAACAACAACTGATATTCTTCAACAGTTAAATAACAATGATAATCAATTACAAATGAAAACATTTATTGAAAAAAATGGTCTTAAATTTGATCGTTTACGTAAATTAGATGATTATTGTGCAACACTTATTTATGAACGTGACCCTAACGTGACAATAGTTGAACAATCAGAACCTTTAATTGAAAAGAAAAAAAGCAAAACATCAAAAAAGAAACAAGTTTCATAATTTTGTGTGTGTGTTTTTTTTGAATAAAAATATATCCAAAAGAAAAAATTAGAAGAAAACAGAAAACATTTTTCTTATAGATATGAATAATAAAAATGAAGTATCGATTCTTCTTGAAATTCTTGATCTAGAATATTTAAAACCGATATTAATTGATCGTTTTCAAAAAATTAATGATCTTACATTAGTCAATCTCAATGAAATTGGAATACAAAATGAAGATGATCTAAATAAATTACGTTATATACTTGATCAATTACAAGAAAATAAAGATTCTATTGAACAATATGATCCATTATTATCAATGAAAGATACTGATCATATAATAACACGTATTGAAAATGAAACAAATCTTATATCATCTAGTCTTAATTTATTATTAAATAATAATACTAATAATATAAATTTATTTCGAGATGATGCAACATTAGATATTGATTATAGTTTATATAATTGTAAAATTGATCAAATTGAAACTGATGTACAACAATTACAAAATAATGCGGATTTATTAATTGAACAAATTCAGTTACAATTCCCACATTTACAAAAATCATTAAATGGACATAAGATTAAGAATACAAATCAATTTTCGAAAAAGACTTGCGTTATTGTAACTCTTTCTGTTCTTTGTATTGGTTTAATGTTCTATATCAAACAAAAATAAATCGATCATTGTGTAGGAATTAATGAATCCTTTTGTATCAGATGAACACATTTATATATATATATGTATATACATATAAATGCATCTAGGTGAAGACGTGCTATATACACATCATCCTATTTTGATTAAATGAGAACTTATTCAATGTATATGTACGTGTGTTTTGAGATAAAATATCTAATGATCAAGTAATATAGTAGAGAGCGTGTATCGACACATATCAAGTATTAAAAATAACCAGGTATACGTTGTGATAGTAATCTGTACGATTGTTCGGTAAACATACGTATAATAGGTATCTTTTTAGATTGTAATGTGTAAATTCATTGATTTGTCATATTCTATTTTATATTTATATATGATGGAAGTTCAAGGTAATAAGGATGAGAGATTTTAAAACGGTACAAATACCTGTACATTGGTCTAGGTCATTTATATGACAAAAAAAATGCGAAAAAAAGAAAGAAAGAACAAAGTGATGATAAGGAAAAGAACAAACGCATATACATTTGAGTAATGTACTACACTTTCGATTTTTCTCGCTCTCCCTCTCTCTCTCTCTCTTCTTCTCCATCCACACCCTTAACGTCCCTCATCACTATTACTACTACTACCACTACTACTACTACTACCGCTACTACTACACAACCTATATTATATATGTACCACAATGCAACAGGCCATTGACGATGTAGCAGCCGATGAGAGCAAAAGATAGCCAGACAATGGACAAAGAAAGTAAGAGAGACAGAGAGAGACAGAGACAGAGACAGAGAGAGAAGGAAAAGAAAGTCAGTCGGACAATGCTTATTCGACTACAATAGCTTACAATACGAGACAGAAGCGACAGAGAAGGAGGGAGAGAGACAGAGAGACAGAGAAGAAAAGAAAATATAGTTCACTATACTACCTCAAACATACATTTATTCATAATGCATTCTTCAAAAATCAGCCATGTTAATGGTACAAGTATAACTTTCTAAGGTTAAGATATGTTAAGTAAGTGAAGTAGGGCTTTTTAATGTTTTACCAAGGTTCTTTGTTCATATGTTCTATTCTAGTATATAACAACTTGATTATTTGTTCTGCTGGTAATTCATTATCTAGTTTGTCCTATTCCAATAAACACTAACTAACGAGTTTTTTTTCATCTTAACAAAAACAAAATATGATGATAATGATGAATGAACAATATCTATAAAAAGAATACTATAGTGTTAAGTTGAACACATATGCATATATATATATATGTATATAGAGAGAGAAGGAAGATAAGAAGATCATAATTTAACCTTAATAATCTTAATAGTGCAGTTCATTTGTCATTTTCATTTTCTTCACTTCTATATTCCACATGTCACGGCTGAAGTAGTACTTACTGTATCGTTCGTTATGAATTTTCACACATAACATTACATCATACCTCTACTTACGTTGTTCAATCATTTTACATGTTTCAACGCATTAGATAGGCAAGCAAGCAGGCAGGCAGGCAAACACTACTGTAGACTTTTCTTTTACTAATTTAAAGTGTCCAATTTTTCTTTTCTTTTTTTTTCGTTTTTTCTTCAGATATATAATTTTTTTTTGTTGAAATGTTCAATTAAATTAATAGAAGATGTACCATCGAATGTATCTTCGTCGCTGTTCTATGTCAAGTATAAGTGAAGAATCTGAAACAGGTGATGATGATCTTCTTGATGAAGAATTTGTTATATGTAATGATGACAATAATGAAGAAAAAAGTCAGTCACCAACAAATATATCTGTTGAAAATTGTCTTGGTGATTTAAATAGTTTCAAAAAAGTAAGATTCTTTTTTTTTTGTTCTTGTTCTTCTTCTTTTTTTGACCGACCATCAAATTAGCTTCTCATTCAACCACCAACACGTTTGCTTAATGACCTCTGTCATTTTACACCTTGATAAATTATTATATGTCCTTTATACGTAAGAGAAGCTCACACTGTCAAAATGACTAGGTATCTTTTATACTTCTATATATATGTATATTTATAAAGCGGCGTCATATTGTTACATTTGGATTTGATTATAACGGATGCACGCTAATAGGGCGTATGTATGTATGTGTAACAGATTTATGAGTTCATTTTCCACTTGGCACCACTAGCCATGCAAGCGGTATTCCGTTTTTCTTTTCTTTCGGCTTATCAATATAATGACGTGAAATGTCTCTTTGCCATTATTCTTTCTATGAACATAATGTGACCGTAGGGATAAAACTGTAAACGGAAGTTATTTTATTTCACATCTGCATCAGTACTCTAAGAAAGATAAACGTTTATTGTTATGTATAGAATAATTTCTTTCTTTATATATATATGTATGTAGATATATATATATATATAGTTATATAGTTATATATATAAATATTTCTGTTTATATAATAGGAAATCCGAGAAGCTTACGAAGAATTGTCTACATTAGAACGACAAGCTCAAAATACAACATCAACATCACCAACGATTTTGACTATGGAAAAAGGTAGAAAACTAATGTTTATTTTGATTTAATCAATTATTGATAAACAGAAAAAAAGCTAAATATTGATTGATAGTTGCACAATACTCTGCTTGAGAAAGAAAGAAAAACGGAAGTGTATTGATACTAAACATGCCTACATAATAGAAAATATTATGTTTAGAATAGAACACTATATAGTAGAAATACAAAAAAAATCTAGATTTTCTATTGCCGAACTAGTTGTAAGACATATTTATATGATGAAGGTTAATTCTTTGAAGAAGAAGAGAAGGAAAAAAGAGAGTATAGCAGAATATTCTAGTTTCTTAATATGACGTATGTTTAAAATTGTATAGAATGTCTTTGATTGAAGTCTGAATATGATTAAAAAGAATTTACATTCATCGACTGCAGCCGTCATCATTTGAACATTGTATGAACATATATATATATATACATGTGCATGCAAACAAATATAGGTCACGATTTGATTGATCGGATAAGCAAGTATTTGAACACGAACAAAAGAGTTCTATTCTCAGGCATCACTTTAAAATGTTGATGAGAAAAATGAACAAGACGGAGAAAAAGAAAAAAAAAACTTCTCAGACAGATTGAATTCAAGTGTTGTAAAAAGAAATAAAAGACAAGAAATCAATCAACAATTGACGAGACAAAATCGATATGAAAATCAATTTCAATTTCTATTTGTTTTTTTGTTTATTGTAGGAGATGATCTTGACATATTACTTGAACAACTTCACACACTTGAACAACGATTAGATCAACCACAAATGTTTCACAATGAATCTAATCATCGTAATAAAAAGACAATTTCACCAAATATAGTCGCACAATTTGATGAACTTGATCAAGCACTGGCTACATTAACAAGTACATTAAATAATGTAGAAATTGAATTAGGAGATTCAGGAAATAGCTCATCATCATCAGCAGCTAGTGATTCAACAACGATTCTTCATCGTCAACAACAAGATGTAAATGATGATAAAAATCGTGATATTGAAGGTGATGAACATTTTTCTGATAGTGGTTTATCACAATCTACTGATTCTATAAGTTTACCATATAAACAACGATCACAATTGAGAACACATAGTCAAATATCTAATATTTCTAGTGTAAGTTATATACATATTTATTTTTTGTTTTCAATGAATTTTTTTTGTTTGTTTAAAAAGGCTTTTTCATGTGATGCATTGAAGAATCCTATTGGAGATAGTAAAATTCGTTTAGCATTAGAAAAAATGCATGAAGCAAATATTAAAAAAATGTTTGTTAAAATACATAATGAAGATAAATCAACGAAAAATATTCTCATCGATGAAACAATGTCAATTTATGATATAATTGTTTTACTTCTACATAAATATCGTTTAAATCCAACATATAATTATACACTTGTTGAAGATTTACCTGATTTACATATCTATCGTATATTTGAAGATCATCAAAATTTAATAAATGATGCTATTGTTTATTGGTCACGTGATACTAATAATCGTATATGTTTTCAACAACATGAAAGTAAATATGCTATGTTTAATGAACCAAAGAAATTTTTTTCTCTCAAAGAAAATAATTCCAATAATATCCTAGTTGATTATATATCATCAAATACAATTGTTTTACCTGATGATATAACAAGTATTTTATATATGAAAGATAAAAATCGAAAACTTTGGAAAAAATATACATGTGTTTTACGTCAATCAGGTATATATCAAATGCCAAAATCTTCATCTTCAAAACGTGATCTTATTTGTTTATTAAAATTTGAATCAAATATGCAACTATATTATGCAAATAATTGGTTTGAATCATTACGTTCTCCAACTCAATATGGTTTTGCACTTAAATATGCACATATACAAAAAAAATCAAATAAATATATCCATTACTTATGTACAAATACATATAATGAATGTCAACGATGGATAGATGGTATTCGAATTATACAACATGGTATTCAGTTATATAAAAATTATCAACGAATGAAAAAAGTTATTGATGATGGACCTGATCAACTTGCAAAAAATTTACCTAATCAACATTATTTTAATTTTATACAATCAAATACATCATCATTTATGTCTGAATCATTTCCAGCTATTTCATTACCCATTAATCATATTATTTCGGATGTATCGAAATCATTTAGTGAATTTGGAAATATTTCATCGATACATAATTTTAAATCATTGGGTAAATTATTTTTCTTTAATCATTATTTACCTCTCAAGTTTCTTTTTTATAGATCGTCTTAAAACAACGAAAACAAATTTTATTCGTTCATCATCATTTCATGATAGTTTACGTCGTGCAAATAGAACTGATCAAAAAATTTTACGTACATATTCAATATCACCCCCAAATAGTTCACCAACAAAACCTACTGATGTAGGTCTTAAACGATCGAAATCATCGAAAGAAATTACATTAAAATCAACTCCATCACAACGTTCAAAAACATCAAATAAAAAAGAACATAATGATACAACGAAAAGTTCATCAACAGCATCTATTATTCCTTTTATCAATCAATGTATACATACAGAAAGAACACCACGTCGTTCAAAATCACCTTTACCTTTACCTAAAAGACCTCCGCCACCTCTTCCAAAAAAATTATCATCACCTCGAACAACTGTTGATAATCATATATATGATTCATTTCAAGATAGTCCATCATTAACAACTAATTATCGACAAACATTTACATCGAGAAAAACTCCTATTGATGATAAACGAACAGTATGTCAACCACGTTTACCACCTATGAAAGTAACAGAACTGTAAAAAATAACCAAAGAAGACAAACACATATTAATTCAAACAATGTGTTTATGACCGGTGATCAATTTATGCACGATATATATGTATATACATATATATCAACCGGCAAAAAAATCAGGCTGTTAAAAATGTTTTCTTTTCCTTTTTTGTAAAAAAAGAATAGTCTTATATATTTGCCGATCTTTGTTTTCACATCACTGTTTTATTATTAAGCATCAAGATGTCCATACAAACGTCTTAATTTTTCTTTTTTTTTACGATTATTATGTTTTTTCCATGGTTTTCCATCTGGAGATTGATTTGTTGAATCATTCGTAGTTTCACCTGCTTGTATTGGACCATTTTTTCTTGTATAATTTAATCGACCATGTATACCTTTACTACCAAAACGTATATCAGTCTACGAAAATCAAATTAAATATATTTAACAACAAAACAACAAAAAAAACGTTTACTGGTTGAAAAAATTGTCGATCGACATCGGATGGTTGAAACTTTGATGGCTGAAAATAACAAAATTGATTAACAATAAAAAAGAAACTTTTTCTTTTTGTGAATAAAATAAATTTACTTTTGATGTTGTTTCATTTGATGTATTTTCTTCATTGTTTGTTTCATCATCATCATCGTCATCATCGCTAGCAAGGCCATAATGCGCAGCATACTGTTGAAATTCTTCTGAATCATAACCAGGTGGTGGATAACAATATAGAAGTTTTCCATTAATATAATCTTTTAGAAGTAGACGAGCTGCTCGACTTCCATCAGGAATACCTTTATGAGTCATAAAACCTCGTCGATCTAAACAAAAATTATAGATATATATTATGTAATGATCTCAATGATATTGAGTTCTTTTGCTTATGATTCATTCAATAGTATCTAACCTTGTGTTTTCAACAATATCAAGATATGTTTATAAATAAAGATACAATTAGTTAAAGATCATACTCATCGACACAAGTAATCTTCGTGATTGTATGTAACAAACTGTCATCTTACTTTTATTGTAAATGATTTTAATCATAAATACAAGAAAATAAGACTCATCTCAATCACTATTCATTTGTAATGAAATCATTTTTTTGTTAGTTAGATACATAATCTAAACAGTATTCTTACAGGCATATGTAGCACATAATTCTACAGCTGTTGGTGGTCGATTTTCATCTTCTCCTTCTTTTGGTAATGGTAACATAATATTGTAAATATGTGTGATAACAGAACGTGGAATCTGATGACAAACGTGTATATAGAGTTAAGGATAAATTCAAAACAAAATAAGCTAAAAATAAGATTAGAAATAGAAAAACAAAAATTGAAATAAATAGTAAAAAAGGATATGAGATTAGCAGGACCAATATAATCTCGCATTTGATCAATAGATAAAATTCCATTAACAATTAATTCATCTTTTGTTGAAACAAATGATGGAAAAACAAGACCAGGACAATCACATAGCATAAGTTCTTTCTCAAGAAAAATCGTCTAGAAAAAAATAATTTAGAAAAAAAAAATATTTTTTTTTCGATATATTACTTGAAAATGTTTGGTTTTTCCAGGTGTTGCTGATACAGATACTTTTTTATATTGTAATAGAGAATTAATTGTTGAACTTTTACCAACATTTGGATATCCAACCTATTAAGAAATGATTTTTGTCTTTATATCAAATAATCTTATATATATATATAATTACCATTCCAATAGTTAGAATATTTTCTCGAGTCGTTGTTTTATGAACATATAAAGATTTAAGTAAATATATTAATTCTTCTCGATTAACAACTAGTGATAAATTTTTTGGTTTTGTTTCTTTAGATTGTCCATGTGCAAGAATTTCATCACGTATTGTTTCAATTAAATCTTCATTTTCATTAGCGTTATCTTCTTCCTCGGATTCTTCTTCTTCTTCATCATCATCATCATCATCATCATCATATTCTTCTTCTTCATTACCAAGAGATGGAATATCGTCATCATTGATATTGATTTCTGCTTTTTGTTTTTCATCATTTTCATCTTCTAATTGAAGAGCGTCGAATCTATTTAATTGACCAGGCGATTTTGTTATTTCAAAATTATCATCATTATAATTAGCTTTGGATTGATTCCGTTTAATATCTTCAAGAACTCTATCTGTATCATCTAGATCTTCTGAATCATTTCTTGTTTTTGTAGATTTTGTAGATGGAGCTGATTGTAAAGCTGAATAGAAAATTACACGAATATTATGTTTATCAAAATAAGTTGCCCATATTTGTCTAAATAGAATAAAAACTAAAGATTTTGTTTGAAATATTTTCATTTCTATTACCGTTGTTCATCAGTTAATAAATCAGCTTTATTAACAAGAATTACATTAACTTTTTTATTATCTGGTGATAATTCACGAACATAGTTTTCAAGATCTTCACAACGAAACAATAGCGGATTTCGAGCATCAACGATTTGAACAATAACATCACTAAGAAAATAATTAAATTAGCATTAGAGAAGCATATATATATGTGAAAGTTAACCTTTTTTCGATAACTCTCCATAATTGTCGCCAAAATTCAAGATTTTTTTCGAATGGTGTTAATGTTAAATCATCGATTTCTTGTAATCTAAATTAATGAAACGAGACTTAATAACAATAATTGAAAGTAATAAATTTTATACAAAGCTAATCGTCGTCTCCAATCAAGAAAACTCGTACGTTCTTGTAGATCAATTTGTTCGGCGCTCATATTAGAAGTCCACGCTGGTCTACAAATCATTAAATGCATTACAAAAAATTTATTAAAAATTTCCTTACCGTCGTGGAATACTTAATTTATCAACATGTAATTTTTGTACTTGTTTTATACGTTCTTTATCTTCACTAGTTAAAATTCCAACTTTTGCTACAGCTGGAATAAACGTTACATTTAATCGTTCTAAAAAAATATCAATAGAAATATATATACATATATTTATTCATAGAGAAATAATAACCTGCTGCAAAATCAGTGCCAGCTAATTGAGCAGTACTTAAAAAGTCATCTAAAGAATTTTGATCTGTTATGGATCGTAGATTAAGTCGATTCCAATCAGTCGTCGTAGTAAAGTCAGCTTTTTGATACATCTATAGAAAATATGAAATTTATCTTTTTTTTTCACAAAAACATTTTTTTTTCATACCCATTCTTCTCCAGCTCTGTTACGATGTTTATTAGCAAAACGTTTTTTAACTAAAGAACGTCCTACTGCACTTTTTGCATTCGACATAATTTAAATGTTATTTATCTAGAAAAGAAACTGAAGATTTTATTGATCTATTCTTTTAGATTAAATTCAAAAATGAAATTGATTTTCAACAAGTGCACGTTGTAAATGTTCAATTTGATTATTTTTTGTATTAAAATTTCCTAATTTTTGTGCGATTGTTATTGGTAAAATTTGTAATTGTTTTTTAAAATCATCCATATCTTTTAAACTTTTTCCAAGCATCGCCATCATTTGTCCATAATCTAATGGTAAATGTTTGTCTTTTAAAATATTTCCTTGATATTTCTTCAGATCTATTTCAGGTAAATTAATCATAAAACGATGAAGATTGGTTATTTGTCGTTCACGTTTTTCACGTTCATAAATTATTCGACTTATGATGAAACATAATAAACAAATAAAACATATTCCAATACATATTAAACCAATCATCATTGTATACGTATAAGAATGTAATGGTATAAACGCACGACTTGTCCTATTCATTTTTTTTTTCAATACGCGCGAAGAAAACAAAACAAGAAATAAGATAAATTTTTTATTTATTTAAAGCAAATAAACAGAGATTCATATATACATAAACATCTAATATCTGACAATAAGAAATAATTCATTATAAACAGTAACAACATTTTGTATATGTATAAATTAACAATTGATCATTGCACATTATATAGAATGAAAACAAATTCATTGATAGAAAGTACAAGCACATGATAAATAATTTTAATTTTTATATATTGAAAAATAAATTCGAACTATTGATTTTTTACATATGTATTTCGTCGTTGTACACGTTCATCTTTGCAATTTTTCGGTACAATAAATAAATCTGTATAGGATGGTAAATGATCATCTACAGGTGTATCTACAAAAGGAAAAAAGCAAGATATTCAAATCCCTTCTCTATGATTTTCGTTTCATTTTGTTATTAATTACTTACTCATATTACTATGTAAACGGCCATTATTTGGAGTCAAAGGTGAAACAATGCTTGATTCATGTTCATTTGTAGTTGTTGCAATCATAGAAGGATATTGAAGAATTCTCGGCGTATTTCTTTGTCCTATTGATGGTAAATTTGATCGAGCTGCCGCTTCGGTTATTTCAGGAGAATAGAGTGAATCTAATAAAAACAAAATTATTATGAATAATATTTAAATTAATAAAAATTTACTCGAAAGAGTTAAATGATTGTTAAGAAATTTCGGTCGTTGAACTTTCGGAAAAGAAGCTGGATTATTTGGTGCTGAATCAAGCATAATACGTAACATAGTATCGATATCTCGTCGAGTTTCGATACTATTATTAGCAAAATTCGGTAAACCATTATTCGTATTATTTTCATCATCATCAGACGGTAATTGATCAACAAAACTCTATTTTAAAACAAATGAAAATAGTATTATATAGTTTTATCAATAGTTTTACTTGAAGTTTTTCAATCATAGCTGTTTGTACTCTAAGATTATATAAGCCAACATCACAATAAGATGATAAACCTTGTTTGAGTTCTTTGGTTGCTAGTATTTTATGTTTATTCCATTCAGTTTGTACTAGAAATTAAATTAAATTAAGATTGATTTTTTTTTGTTTTTTGTTACTAACCTTTTGTTAATAATTGTTCTTTTGTACGATGAGAACAATGATTTGTTATTGCTTCTTCAAATATAGATTTTGTTTTATCGAAATCATTTGATAAATTATCGTTTAATTTTTGTAATGATTGTTGAAGTGAATTCATTGCGTATTCTATTATAGTATTTTCACATAAAATAGATTTGATTTTTTAATAATAACAAACATTTGCTTACCATTAAATATTCGCGATGATAATTGAGATCGCATAGCTAAAGAATCAATTAAAGTGCTTATTTCCTAGACAAAAAATGATTAGTTTTTATATAGAAAAAATGAAAACAAGTCAAATACTTGAAGTGGTCTACAATCAGATAATTGACCAATATCATTAATAAGACGAGCGACTAAAAAAAAGAAAGTAAAATAAAATATATATATATGTATTTCTGTACCGTGAACTTCATGATCAGGACTATCTAAATTTCGTTGTACAGATTTTTTTGTTCGATTTATTTGTATAATTGCAGCTTGTAATTTTTTACGATATTTGACTGTATTATTCAATAGAATTTCGTCATTTTCATTAAGTCGTTGTGATTTTCGCCTATGAAAAATAAGTTTAGTTCGAATAAAATTGAGAAAAAATTCTTACGAAAATCGTTTACGCCAAGTTGACATTATGAAAAGATTTTCAATAGACAAAAATTATATTTTTGATAATTTCGTCAGTCGATCAACTAAATAATCGAATGAATGAATTAAGATCAAGGAGAACAAAGAACTGATCTGATAAGTCAAAGCATTGGTTGAATATTTTAACCAATAGAAACAATAGCACTACAATCGATTACAAAATTTAAAACAAAAATAGATAAAGAAATTGATTCGAAAAGTGATTTTTTCGTTTGGAATAATTCTTCTCTAACTTTTTCTTCAATGGCTTAGTTAAAATAACTAATGGATCTAGTAACAGGTGATGAAGATAGGGAGAAAAAGTTCAACATTTCAACTGTCTAGTTAAAATGGTCACTATTAGCTTGCAGTAGACAGTTGACCTCTTAGTCAATGAACGATCTTTTCTTTTCTCCTTTTTTTATCTTATCAATGGTCAAAGTGAAAGAAAATCTATAATGATAAAATTTAAGTATAATTTTAACAATATTTTTGTAACAACGAAGACTTTCAGACCATTGTTGACCGATTTATTTTAACTTGATGTAAGAAGACTGTTCAATAACATTTAGTGTCTTACATTCAAAGTAGGTTGATTGTTATTAAATGTATTGTGTCTCGATCTTCTGGTTATAATTGCTTGCAGTTTATATATATTATTTGAACAGCTGCGATGACGCGCGTTGATTATACATATTTACTTCTACGAATTACTTTTTTGCTCGAGATATCGTGATAATCTTTGTATCTAGAAGATAAGCGCTTATTAGCTTTTCTCTTCAAATTCACTACAAAAACATTCTAATATTATTACTGTATCGTCCTTCTATCATCGCAATATCTATTTATTTTAGATTCTTAACTATTATGAATCTTCTTGAACGTAGTTGTCTATCCATTTTTCTATGTTTATATATGTTAAATAAAACTTGTTCTCAGTTTGAATGGATTTCTTATGATAAAATTGATGAAGTAATGGATCGAATTAATTCTGTAAATAGTGCTAATTGTTTTCAAAAACAACCAAGTGAATTGGTATTACCTGAAGAAGCTGTTTATCAAAAACCGTCAATTGAAATGCTTAAAAAAGATATTATTATGAGAAATCGAACACAATTATTACATGTACGAAATATTGCTCATCGAAATGCTCTTTTATACAGTTATTTATTTCAACGTTTATTCGATTTTGAAGAACCTGGTTTAACATATATACTTTTACATAATGCTGGTAAGAATAAAAGTAGATATATAACTATTAAGATAAGTACGTCTTTTATTACAGCCGATATAACTGGTGGTCGAGGTATGATAAATGGTTCAGGAATCTTTTTTGATCAAGATAAATATTATCCGCATTGGTATAAAAATTATTTCAATAAAACACTTCCATTATTTGGTCCGTATGCTTGGCGAGCAGATGATTTCTATGGTAACCATATATTTCGAAGTTTTCATTGTTTTTGTATTATCATATCAATAGATGCATTTAATTGGAAACATGAATGGACAAATCATACTATTCAAGAAGAAGATATTGGTGCAGGTCGTAATCATCATTATACATCACGATATAATCGTGCTAATGAATGGTATAGTAAATGGTTACCTGATCAAACACGAAATGATCAAGGACGAGGTAAGAATAAAATAAAATTTCAAATTTTTCTTTTTTGATTATTATATATAAAAGTAAACCTTGTTACCCTATACTTCGCTGATTGTTTTGCTTGTAGAAGTTCGCCCTTATAGTTTTATAATACCTCCACCTTATTTGGCTGTTAACAACGACGACGATGAAACGGAAAAAAATGAATGGAAAATAATTGATGAGAAAAGAAATGATACTGATGATGAAGATTATAATGATGATGATACAACCAAAAAACGTATAGTGCACTTTATTTATGTGTATATCTAGCTATATATATTAGATTACGGTTTTGTTTTTATTTATTTGTATATTTCTTTCACATAATTGTGGTCAATTTTTGTACTTTTATTGGTGATCTGTGTTGTAGAATATTTATTCAATCAAGTAAACGAGAGAATCACATTCGTTTTAATCTAAAAAAATGTGCGTCTCTCGTTTCATACTTGCACTTTTATATTAATTTATTCTTTCTATTTTAAAATGATTATCACTGGTGTATTTATTTGTTTATGTTCACGGGGTTATGACTTTATTTTTTTATACATTAATGTGGGAAAAACTAATTCTAATCTTATTTTATAGGTAAACCTGTACATTCAGTTCAATTATTGTTAGCAGAAAGAATGTATAAACTTCGTGATGAACCACAAAATTTTGAATTTTATGGACCACCACATCCCGAAGATCCACAAGGTGTGTTAATCCATGATATTAATAGAGAGAGAAAAAATGTTGTTCTTATTTTAATTTTAATTAGGTCCTACACTTTGGACACGTCCATATTTTGATTGTGGTCGATCAAATAAATGGGTAATAAGTGCTGTTTCACCTATTGTTGATATATATCCACGACATACAGAATTTCGACATTTACAAGCTATGAAAAATTTGGCTGTTGCTGTAGCAGAAATTGATTTTATTATGATGGATATAAATCAATGTGCTGAAACAAATGCACAATCCAATGATCCACAATCAAAACATGCTAATCTATTTGCTGGAACAGATAAATGTAAACCAACAACACGTTGTGAACCATTAATAGGTTTTGGATTTCGTCGTGGTGGTTATCAATGTCTTTGTCAACCAGGTTATCGTTATCCGCCATATCAAGATGGACCATTTAAAGGTTATATTATCGAAAAAGCAACACAAGAAGAATATGTAAATAATTTTGATTGTCTTAAAGTTGAATGTATGTATGAAATCATTTCTATGAATTCTTCAATGGTTTAATTCTATTCTCTTTTAGTATATCAACAAATCCCACAAAACTTCTATCAAGCTAATATTGAATTATTTGCAATGCGTGCACGTCGGTCAATTGATAACAATAATGATAATATATCAAATGAAACAGTCTATACTGATTACAATAAAGATTCTATTCCATCATTAATTGAATCTGGTAGAATAAACTTTTTCTTTCTTTCTTTCTCAATCTTATTTTCTCTTCTTATTTAGTTCCAAAAATAAATCTAATCGCAACATTATCATCTTCAACTTCCTCTTTATTTAAATCGTCTGTTGATCAATTTGCTTCATTTTCTAGTAAACTTATTACAGGTTTTAATAATACTACGCAACCGGAAGATCATATTAAAAAAACTCGTTCAAAACGTTTTGCATATGAATATCCAACACGTATTGGATCGATAATGCAACTGTATGATCATCTTAATCATGATCCAAATTTATGTGAATTAATGACTGAAGATGACTTAACTATGCCAGGTGATGTTTTAAATGATGTTGATATTCAATTTGAATCTCAAGCACGTTTAGCATTAACATTATCACATTTTCTGTCGAGTTTCTATCAAATTGTTAATCCTGCTGAAGATTTTCCATTACGTAAAGCTGAACTTGAATTAACTGATGAACAATTAATTGGTGAAGTTTTAGCTGCAGCAGGTGGTGATTATAAAGTTGTTGGTGTTGGAATATATTTTGATCGTGGGAAATTTCCAAATTATCGTTTACCTTTTTTTGGACCTTATGCATATAGATCAGAAAATGATATAAGTCGAAAATATACTGTTGTTGATTGGGCAGGTTTACCTGATGGTTATGAAAATGAAATTTGGTTTCGAGTAATTAGAAAGACAAGTAATATGAAGATTTTGATTTGATTATTTTTCTTTAGACAATGAAAGCGCGATGGGGAACCAACGCTGATCGTTCAGAATTAACTGAATTTTGGTTAAAATTATTTATTCGATCAGATTATATTGGTAATGCATTAGTACATCATGAATCTGGTTTCCCACTTTATTCTTATGCACCAGAATTAAAGTGAGAAAGATTAATGAAATGTTTATATTTAGTTTAAGAATTATATTTATTTTAGACATGGTCAATGGTTTCCACCAACATTTCAATGTAGTAGAAATTATACATTACCACGTCAATGGATTGTTACTTATGCAGTTCCGTTTTTTGGTTTAGATACACTTGGAATTAATCTTGAATTCAAGTAAATTTTTGAAGATTATAATTATTACAGAATAAATATGATTGTTCTGTTATAGAGGTGTAGTACGAGTTGATGCATATCTTAACTATTTGGATATAAATCAATGTTCAATGCCTCATTATGTACCGAATGCATTTAAAGGCAGTGATCGTTGTGATTATCAAAGCACAGTAGTATGTTATTATTATTATATAACCTCATCTATTTCATTTATTTTAGTGTGAACCAATATTTGGTCGAGGTTTTCGTTTAGGTAAATATAAATGTCGCTGTCGACCTGGCTATGAATATCCATTTATTGATCAAAATGATTTTTTTAATGGTGATGCTATGGATATACAATGGGATCTATTAATGAGTAATAATTCTCATATTTCACGATTTGATCAACTTAAATGTCGTATTGCTATGGCTAATTCAATAAAATCATTAAATTGGATTATTTCAGTATTAACAGTGTTTTGTACAATGGTGCTCAATCAATAATTCTTTGTTTGACACATTTTGTCAGTGATTTTATGCAGTTTTCTTTTCAGTTTTGTCATTACGTGAATGTTTGTTTTGTTTTTCAATGTACATTCGATTTTTTGTATATGTGTTTCTGTTTTTTTATACTTCATGTGCAAATTCATATGTGTTATAAGGTGTATTTTTTTATTAAGAAAGAAAAGTGAATTCTAAACGATGGATAGATCAAAAGAGAAAATCTTATTATACATTCGCGGGGTAGATCTTTAACGGTCAACTTCACCAAAGACAATATCCAGTGTACCAATAATAGCAACTAAATCAGCAAGCATATGACGACGAGCAATACGATCGAGTGCAGCCTATTGAAAAAAAGAGAAAGATTAAATTGGAAAAAGGAAAGAATAATTTTATTTACTAAATGGATAAATCCAGGAGCTTTAATATGAACTCGATAAGGTTTTGAGGTACCATCGGATACAAGATAAACACCCATTTCACCCTAAATAACATAGAGATATATGATTGTTTAATTTCTAGTAAAGAATTATAAAACTAACTTTTGGTGCTTCAATAGCAGTATATGTTGTACCAGGTGGAACTACAACACCTTCACTGAAAAGTTTAAAATGATGAATAAGTGCTTCCATGGATTCCTAAAAATAATATTAAATTATTTCATTCTTTTTGTATATTAGAATTTACCTTCATTTCTGCACGTTTTGGTGGTACAACTTTATGATCATCAACCTAAAAAAAACAAGAAATAAATCAATTCTATATACATTTTTTTTTGTTATTTACTTTATATTCTCCAGATGGCATATTATTAATACATTGTTCCATAATTCTTAGACTTTGTCTCATTTCTTCCATTCGACATAAATATCTAAAAAAAACAGATATTAATTTAGAAAGAAAAGAAAATTATTAAAAATGAAATTTATTTACCGATCGAAACAATCTCCATTAACACCAATTGGTACATCAAATTCCATTTTATCATAAGCATCATATGGTTGTGTTTTTCTAAGATCCCATTTAATACCTGAACCACGTAACATTACACCCGAAAAGCCAAGATTAAGTGCTTCTTCAGCTGTAACAACACCAATACCGACTGTTCGTTGATTCCAAATACGATTTCCAGTCAAAAGATCATCTACTTCATCAATACGACGAGAAAATGATTCACACCATTTGTGTACATCTTCCAAATAACCAAGTGGTAAATCAAATGCTACACCACCTGGACGAACATAAGCAGCATGCATACGAGCACCACTAACACGTTCGTAAAATTCCGAAATCTAAATTTAAAATTTGTTTGTTTTTTTGTCTATAGAAATCTATTTAATAGACACCTTTTCTCGTTCTTCGAAAAGCCAAAAGAATGGTGTCATAGCACCAACATCAAGTGCATGGCAACCAATAGCTAATATATGATTAAGAATACGTGTCATTTCACCCATTAAAGCTAAAATGATATTAATTTTATAAAAAAATTACAAACAAAAAGAAGAGTCAAATTACTTCGAATATATTTTGCACGTTCTGGAATTTCAATACCTAAAAGACGTTCAACACCTAATGAATATACCTGTTCATTTGTCATCATTGAACAATAATCAAGTCGATCAAAATATGGTAAAGCCTAAAAATAAGAAGTTATGAGTTGAAAAATAAAATATCAAAAGTTTATCATTGTTTACTTGAATATATGTTTTATATTCACAGAGTTTTTCTGTTCCACGATGTAAAAGTCCAATATGTGGATCAGCACGTAGAACAGTCTAGAAGAAAAAAAATCATGATATAATTTATATTTAATATTATATAAAAACAAACTTCTCCATCAAGTTCAACAATAAGACGAAGTACACCATGAGCAGCTGGATGTTGTGGACCAAAATTAATTTTAAAGTTACGTAATTTACGTTTAGGTGGTGTTTCAACCATTAATTCTATGAAAAGAAATATTATCAAAAACAAATTCATTATTTTATTTTTCTATTACCATTTCGAAAAGGTTTTTCTTTCCATTGTGCATATTCAGGATTTGAATAAAAATAACTTGCTTGTGATAAATAATTTCGATGTTCTTCTTTACCTAAATACCATGAAACGGAACGTTTCTGTTCGACATTTTTTGATGTTGTTGGTACCAGTAAACAAGCAGTACGAACAGAATTTGATGAACGTAAAATCCATTGAATGGATTTACCACTTAAGATAGCGACTGACATTATTTGTCGACAAAATAATAATAATAAAAATGAACTGCGATGAATCTAATAAAACACAACCATTACGAACGTCTACTTTTCTATTGGTTAATTTTATCTATCCAATGATTATTAAGTCAATGATTAAGGGGTTTATATTGAATCAGTTTTATTGTTATTACTCTTAATTTTCTCGACATATTATTATAAAATGGATGATGATGATGATCATGATAATATAGATTTAACAGAAGATTTTCTTCTACATACATTACATAATGATACAATTGAACAGAATACATTCTTCGAACATTTTCAACGTTTTTTACCTCGACAGACACTTATTTATATACAATATTGCTTACTACGTATACCATTTTTACTTCTATATGATTATTTATTTACCGAACAGTTTTCATATTTATTTGATTATTTTCTTGAATATTCATCGAAAATTATTGATCAAGAAAATCAAATATTATTTAAACCAATAAGTTATATATTAAATAGTTATTTTTTTCAATTATTAATCGATATTAATTTAAATTTTTCAATACCAATCTTAGGTCTTATATTATTAATCGTTTTCTTATTATGTTCCGATCGACGTCTTGTAATATTTTACAGTTATACATTATCATTACTTGTTATCTATCTTTATTATCAAATAAATCGTTTTATGGATATTCAAATAAATACATTCGTACTTCAATTTATACTTTCAGCTATTTATATTCAAATGTTAAACATACGTTCTCCAGTATATACATATCCAATTCAAAAACGTTTATGTCAAATAGCACCAATTCTATATCTTGTAACACGTTATATATTTCCATTAACATATAGTATATATATACTAAATATTTATTATCTTTGTTGGATATTAATACATTTATCTGAAGCACTTATTTTTCAACGAGATATGATAATAAATTTAATACATATTCGTATATTAAATCAATTAATAAATTTATATAATAATTTTGGTATTCAAACATTATTTAATACATTACAACATCGTATACATGTTGTAACATTAATGAAAATATTTTGGTTAACAAAAATTATTATTATACCATTAGGTTTTCGAGCAATTTATACACATCCATTTATAATTAATACAACAACAATGAATACGACAAATGAAACAATTATTAATTATAATACAACATTAACAAAAACGATTTATTTTACAACTTTATTCTATGGAACAGAAACAATATTTACGTAGGATAATAATAAAAATCATGTTTGTTGTATTTTTTGTTTTGTTTTGTTTTAGAATAATTAGTCTTGCTTGTCTTGTTTCACATGGTATGAAAATTTTGGCTCATCGTTTATTTCGATTCTTAAATTTATGGAATGAAGATGTTGAACAGATTGGTATTATTATTGGTATGATGTTTTTTCTTTTACTTTTTCAATCAAATTTAACACGACTTGATCTTCATCGACGACATATTCCATTATTAAAAGCGTTCAGTTTACTTATTGTTGCATTATGTCATTTTCTTCATACAATACTTGAACCACAATTACTTAAAGTAGCAATGCAAACAATGACAACAAGAATGGCATTTGATGAAACAAATGAAAATCAAGAAGAAATTGAAGATGATGAAAATAAGTAAATAAGTCATAGATAGTTCTTTAAATAATACGTAATTATCTGTAGGGAATTAAAAGATTATACTACTTTCATTATTAATAACCTTGAATTCTGTTCTTCGGAATTAAGTGTTATGTTATGCATAATTCTTTTGACAGGCATCATAAAACGATAATTTAATGAATTAAATAAATAGCAGAAAATTTTAAACATAATCATATAGACAGAAACTGCACGTCTATTTGCCAAAATATAAATAGTTACTATGTCAACATGACATTTTTATCCTTTATTAAATGTTATATATTAACACGTTTTATTTGAAATATTCTTTAGATCATCATCATCATATTTCTCACAAAAAATTCTTCGTTCATTTCATCATCAACATGTTTATACATGTTTATCACTGCTATTCTTAATTATTCTTTATGCAGCTTTCTTATGGCGTATAACAACATTTTCAACATGGCTTTTAGCTATAACAGCATTTTCATTGGAATTAATCGTACGTCTTATAGCATCATTAGCTCAATATACACTTTATGTTCTTGATGCTCATAATCGTTTATCAAATGTTGATTCATTTGATGAATATATATTTCGTGTAAAAGCAATCACATCATGTTTTGAATTTATTCTTGGAGTTTTCCTTCTTTTTAATGGTTTCTATATTTTATGTTTTGAAGCTCGTGGAGCATTACGTGCATTTATGCTTGCTATACATGCACATTTAAATATTATAAAAAATGTACGTCGAGGTTGGCAAATACTTCGTAATCGTAAATCGGCATGGGATAATGTTACTCAATTACCATTAGCTACAGAAGAACAAATTGAAAATTATAATGATATATGTTCAATATGTCATAATGTCTTAACAACTGGTAATACATGTATAACACCATGTTCACATCTATTTCATCAAAAATGTTTACAAAAAGTATTTTATGCCACACAAAATTGTGCATTATGTTCACGACCAATTGTTTTAGAAAAGAAGGATCATAAAGAATAGAGGAGGAGGAGAAAACAACAAACAATGTTTTTTTATTTTTATTGATATTTCTGTGATGTAATTAAATAGAAAAAATAAATAATTTATTTATTTTATTTCAGTTTCTTATTTACCAAAAAAAACTATGATTGTTTTTTTTCAGATTAAAAAGAAAATGGAAGTA